AAACAAAACCTAATGTTAACACTAAGAAAAATATCAACATAATTATAAGTCCAAATATACCGTTAACGTATGCACTTACAATGTAAGGATAAACTAATAATATCTCTAAATCAAATAATAAAAAGAGTAAAGCAAAAATAAAAAAAGAAATACTAAATTCACTTCTATTTTGACCTAAAAAAGAATGAAATCCGCATTCAAACGCGCTATCCTTTTCTTCATAAGGATTATGAGGGGCAAAAATGAAATTTACCCCCAATAATATAAGAGCTAATATGGGTATAAATATTAAGAAAAATGTCTGACTTGTCATTTAGGCTTTAAAAATTATAAGAGTTAATATATTAACTAAATTAAACCATTGTGTTGGGATATATATAAAGAGTATTAACAATAGGGTTATTATAGAAATAGTTATACTAAGAGAACTATTTACGGTGATATTTTCTGATTTGAATAACACCTTTTGTCTTGACAGTTTAACATTGTTTGATGCATCATCGTCTTTTCTGTAAGAACTCGTGTAGCCCACTAACTGTATATCATTAACAAAAGAGCCTTTAAAAAACCCTTTATTTACGTTGCTTGTAGTAAGTGAAGGATTTTTTTGATAATCTTCTTTAAAAAAAAATATTTGTTTGATAAGATTTAGATAATAACCTGCCCCAATTACGCTAGTTAATATGGCAACTAGAGACATAAAGACGTATCCATTATCTAAGGCAGCACTTAAGACCATCTGTTTAGCAAAAAACCCTATCACAGGGGGAATTCCCACAAATGAAAATAAAGTAATTGATAAACTTATTGCAATAAAAGGATTGATATAGAAGTATCCTTTTATTTGGCTTATAAGTTGAACTGGCGAGTTGTTTTGGTCAACTAATTTCTTTCCATCCTGTTTTTCTTTAGATATGTACAAATAAAATGTGTATCCAATAGTAATTAATATAATAAAGGCGTTTAAATTAGAAAGAGAATATTGCATTATGTAAAAAATATATGATTGTATAGATTCTGCACTATCTATTGACAATGCCAATAAGATAAATCCTATGTGACTTATAGTACTGTATGCAAAAAGTCTCTTTATTCTAAATTGTGTAAGTCCTAAAACAGACCCTATTATTAGAGAAAATAAACTACTCAACAATAGTACATTTTTTCAAGAAAAATCAAAAAAGTTATACTCTGTATAATAAACTAACTCTAAGAAAAAGGCAAAGATAGAAATCTTTGCTATTATAGCTACGTATGTTGTTACTATAGTAGGTATACCATCGTATACGTCTGGAGATCAGAAGTGAAATGGTGCAGCACTAACTTTAAATAAGAACCCTACTGACATTATCACTAATGACAAGTGAATATAGTATGGTTCATATCATGATATAAAGCTGTCAAAGTTATTAACTTCTGTAATACTAGTTATTATATACAGGTTCTCTAGGCTGGTTGTACCTGAATTTGCGTAAAGTAATGCAGACCCTAATAGTATGAAACAAGAAGAAAGCCCTCCTAATAAAAAATAAGTTAAACCGCTACCAGTTGCTAGTTCAGAGTCTCTATACAAAGTAGAAAGAATGTACAAACCATAACTTTGCAATTCTATTGAAAGAAACACAGAGATAAGGTCAGCAGTACTTATTAAGAATACCGCACCACATAATATAAAAACGATAATTAAAGCATATTCTATTATACGAAATTGTTCTCCTTTTTTATTAGAAATAGCATTTTTGTTATAGGAAAATGTAGAGAAAATAAGATTGAATAGAGATGAATGTTCTTTAATATAAACTTTTCTAGGATAAAATGCGGTTAGTGTAAGGATAATTGCACTAATCGTAAATATAAATATGTTAAAGGTTTGAGTGAAGGTTGTTACATTAAATAAACCTCCATAAATACCTATTCCATTTGAAAAGGGTTTAAGAAAAAGGTTATTTCATGCGAGAAAACTAGTGGAGATTAATCCTAGGATTACAACTCTGGAAAATAGTATCGATTTGTCTTTTCTTAATGTTAAGGCGTTTGAAAAAAGTAATAAGATTAATAATGATATAAGCATTCTATTTTTTTTTTAATTTTTAGCTTAGTGCTATACTTTGTAAAGGTAAGCTAGCAAAAGCATGAGGTTTAGGTGGACTATTTAAACATCATTCTAAGCTAGTATAGGCTCTCATTAATAATGTTTGCAAGAAATCAGTATAAAACTGAGGAGTTAATCATGGGTACCTTGAAACACTGTTACCTTCAACTAGTTGATAGTATAATATGTTTAAAAATAATCATGTGGCTACCACAGAGATTATAGACCCAAAACTACTTACTAAATTTCATCCTGCAAATGCATCAGGGTAATCACTTATTCTTCTTGGCATTCCTTGTAAACCTAAGAAATGTTGAGGGAAGAAAGTCACATTAACCCCTATAAATAAAATTCAGAAATGAACTTTACCTAACATTCTGTTGTAATCTAAACCGAGTATTTTAGGTATTCAAAAGTATCATGCACTAAATAAAGCAAACACTGCACCCATACTTAAAACGTAATGGAAATGGGCTACCACATAATAAGTGTCATGGAATGCTATATCAAGAGAAGCATTTGCCAATACTACTCCACTTAATCCACCGACGGTGAACATAAATACGAAACCTAAAGCAAATAACATAGCTGGTGTTAATTGAATAGACCCCCCATAGCAAGTAGCTAGTCAGCTAAATATCTTAATTCCTGTAGGAACTGCAATAATTAAAGTAGCAGCAGTAAAGTATGCACGTGTGTCCACATCTAAACCTACTGTGTACATGTGGTGACTTCAAACAACCAATCCCAGAACACCTATAGACATCATTGCATAAACCATACCTAAGTATCCAAAGATACTTTTGTTAGAGCTTGCTGAAATAACAGTACTTATAATTCCAAATCCTGGTATGACTAAGATATACACTTCAGGGTGTCCAAAAAATCAGAATAAATGTTGGTACAATATAGGATCTCCCCCACCTGCCACTTCAAAGAAAGATGTGTTGAAATTTCGATCAGTAAGTACCATTGTGATGGCTCCTGCCAATACTGGTAGAGAAATCAATAATAAGACTGCTGTTACTACTACTGCTCATCCAAATAAAGCTAATTTGTGTAATCTGATTCCTGGAGCTCTCATATTTAGTATAGTTGTAATGAAATTCATAGCTCCAAGTAAACTACTTACTCCTGACAGATGTAAAGCAAAAATAGCCAAATCTACACTTGGACCACTGTGACTTTGTATACCTGATAATGGAGGATATAATGTTCAACCTGTTCCAGCTCCATTTTCTATTGTAGTTGCAAATAGGAATAACACTAAACTTGGAGGAAGTAATCAAAAACTAATGTTATTTAATCTAGGAAAGGCCATATCAGGGCCACCTACTAGTAATGGTAATAAGAAATTTCCAAATCCTCCAATCATTGCCGGCATTACCATGAAAAATATCATTAAGATAGCATGTCCTGTAATTATACTATTATATAATTGGTTGTCCGCGATATATTGAACACCAGGCCCGGATAATTCTAATCTGATTAATACAGAGTATGCTGTTCCCAGTAGTCCTGAAAAAAGGGCGAACATAAGATATAAAGTTCCTATATCTTTGGCATTACATGATAAGAATCAACGTTCTCATCACATAGAAATGCTATTTTGCGATAAATTATTTTCTTCGCATCTATTACTTGTAAAGATTGAAGGTCTAACCAAATATTTATGAATTAAATTGCTAATAAACAAACTTTTAAACTCAAGGTAAAAGAGCTGCGATATCAGCCGTAAACTGTTTGTTATTAAGCGGTTTTTTTATGTATTATATTGAACGGATGTGTTTTTTTTTATAAATTTAAGATCTATAAACTTCTTACCTAAGATTTGAACTCAGATCCAGATATTAGAAGTATCCTGCTCTACCATTAAGCTAGTAAGAATTGCATCTTTATGAAGAGACACGGAGGAATTGAACCCCAAATTTTCGATCTGCAATCAAAATGTAAACCTTTTACAACATGTCCCAAAAGTACTTATAATAAAACGTGCACAGGGGTCGAACCTGCATCAATTGTGTCCGTAGCACAAGACTTTAACCATTAAGATAACACGTTTTGATTTTAGTCTGTTATTTGTACCTCTTGCAAATAAACTTGAGCCCTTAATATGAATTGAACATATATCAAAATATTAACAGTATTTCGCTCTACCGTTGAGCTATAAGGGCTATAACTAATACTTAGGAAGAAAAGGAATCGAACCTTCGACAGCCTCAGCTATTGAGTTTACAGCTCAACCCATCGTACCAGCAAATGGAACCTCCCTTTAACATAGTTTAAACTGCTATATTAATACAAACTTAAAAGAAAAAAAACTAATAGATTTAAAAAAATATTATGATATTAGTTGGTATTGAGCCAACTCGCAATCATTGCAATTTAAATAAGCATGCGATTAGGTTATGGCCATATGATGAGATTGCTATTTTACGACCAGATCTTTTACCTTAGTAATTTACTTTTGTCTGTTTTTGTTATAATGATTTTGTGACTCATTATTTTAGTCACAATCTGAATTATTGCTTTAATTGCAGTTTTAATAACTTCTAACCTCACCCTCCAAAATAATTTCTTAATTAAAGTAAATTGTTTTTATTACCTTGCTTAAAAAACTTTCTTTATCATTTCTTCACTTTTATATTATGGGGTTTCGTTCACGTTACAATAGAATGGATCTAAATACGGTTAGCCTAAAAACAAAACCTATAAAGTTTAAAGGATAAATATAAGGGCTATGAGATTCGAACTCATATTACAATGATTAAAAGTCACATACTTTACCATTAAGTTAAGCTCTCTTTTTTTTTATTTGTGGGGGGGGTGTTGTTAATGTTTATTAAACCCGTGCAATTTCTACTACACGAACCATATTTCGACTTAACACCAATTAGAGTCACGCATACGAAGATCAATTGTTAAAATATTACCTCTTTTCCTTACATATTTTGCCTCATCTATTTAGTTTGTTGGTTACTCTTGGTAAAGAGAAAAACCTAATTGTTTGAGGGTGGATTAACAATAAACCAAACTTATTGCACATACTCCTTTCAGCGCCTGACGAGTGGTTAGTACCTATCTGAGATTAAATCCACCGTGATGTGGTGATTCACGATTACTAGTAATTCCTTATTCATGCAGTCGAGTTTCAGACTACAATCCATATTATATTTTGTTTTGGGGGTTAGCTTTTACTCGCATTTTTGCCTTCCTTTGTCCAAACATATGTGGCACGTCTATAGCCCACAATATTAAGGTCATGATGACTTGTCTTGGTCCCTATTATCATATCCAATATAGCGGTGAACTGCCTCACAAATTGCGATCTATATATTTTATTAGCTTACTTAATTAAAATAAGATTTCACCTATAAGTCGCTGTGAAGCAAGGGTTTACGTTAATTTAATGGATCTAACCAAAATCTCACGACATTAACTGAAGACAGCCGTGCAACGCTTGTAATATTTGATACCCGTATGCAAAGCAAGAGGATTTACAACAAATAATATTCAAATTGTGGTAAGGTTTATCGAGGGTCATCGAATTAAATAACATACTTCACTACTGGTTTCAGAAACGGTCTAATGATTTCAGTTCCTGTGTTGCCACATTACTCTTGAGGTGGAATGCTTACACTTTCATTTATACACCAACTTTTTATTCAGTCTATAACATTCATAATTTTCTGCCTGGACTACTAGGGTATCTAATCCTATTTGCTCCCCAAGCCTTCGTCCCTCAACGTCAGTTTATATATAGAGGGTTGCCTTCGCCTTTATCCGTTCCATTAGTATCAAAGAATTTCATCTCTACACCAATAGCCCTAATATTTACCTCTCCCATCAAACTCTAGTTTCTACGTACTCTTTTAAAGCTATAAAAACCGTCTAGGTACCCTTTAAACCTAATAAAGATGAATAACACTAGTCTTCCTTGTATTGCCGCGACTGCTGGCACAAGACTTGGTCAAGACATATAGATAGAAGTTTGTCATCATCACTTATCTATCTAGAACTTTATTTGACATAGTCAATATACATTCCCCCAAATTGCTGGTTCAGCCGTTAGGCCATTGACCAATATACCTCACTGCTGTACTACACGTATTGGGATTTTTTCAGGCCCAATGTGGTCAATAAACCTCTCAGTTATGACTACAAGTTTCAGCTAGTTAAGACATTACCTTAACTACTACTTACTTGAGAATATTACGAGCATCTTAAAGCGAAAAATGTTATTCTTCTTTTGTATAACCAGATTAAAAGATTAACCTAGTTATATACTATAAGGGATTTATCCCTTACTTTAAGGAAACCAAAATATTATATACTCACCTTTACACCACTTTATTTTATATCTAAGATACAAAACAACGTACGATTAGCATGTGTCAAGCCTTTGGACAGCGTTCAATCAGAGCCATCATCAAACTCAATGACAATACTATATTAATACAAAGTTGAACTTTAGTCTGAAAAAAAAAAGGCTATTAAAATATCTTCTTCCACGTGTTTTTAATGCAGAGGTACCTAATTACTAACTTAAAGTTAATAACTTCTAGTTTAAATCTGATTAAGATTTAATTGCATCAAAGCAAAAAAAAATAGAAACAAAAAAAACTAGCAAAAACAAAAGTTTGCTTTAAACGTAGAATTTAATAAATAATAAACTTTCAGTTATGAAAAAAAGAAAAACAAAAATAAAATGAGAGCTTTTAAAAGTCATCCCTTACTTAGCTTAGTAAATGGGTATTTAGTGGATTCACCACAACCTTCCAATCTAAGTTACATGTGAAATTTTGGATCTTTATTAGGATTTTGTTTAGTAATACAAATAATAACAGGTGTAACTCTTGCAATGCACTATAACCCTAGTGTCTTGGAGGCGTTTAATTCCGTTGAACATATTATGAGAGATGTAAACAATGGTTGATTAATACGTTATCTACATTCAAATACAGCTTCAGCCTTTTTTTTTATAGTGTACTTACATATAGGAAGAGGTTTATATTATGGTTCATACAGAGCACCTAGAACACTTGTGTGAACAATAGGTACTGTTATCTTTATCCTAATGATGGCAACTGCTTTTTTAGGATACGTTTTACCTTATGGTCAAATGTCATTATGAGGTGCTACAGTTATAACTAACCTTATGAGTGCCATACCATGAGTAGGACAAGATATAGTTGAGTTCATCTGAGGAGGTTTCTCCGTTAACAATGCAACTTTAAATAGATTTTTTGCACTTCACTTCGTATTGCCTTTCGTATTAGCCGCATTAGCCTTAATGCACTTAATTGCACTACACGATAGTGCAGGTTCAGGTAACCCTTTAGGGGTATCAGGTAATTATGATAGACTGCCTTTTGCACCCTACTTCATATTCAAGGATTTAATAACAATCTTTTTATTTATTGTGGTATTATCAGTTTTCGTTTTCTTTATGCCTAATGTACTGGGAGACAGTGAAAATTATGTTATGGCCAATCCAATGCAAACTCCTCCTGCTATAGTTCCTGAATGGTACCTGTTACCTTTTTATGCTATACTTAGATCTATACCTAACAAGTTATTAGGAGTAATTGCTATGTTTTCTGCAATATTAATCTTATTGGTTATGCCTTTTACAGACCTGGGGAGAAGTAGAGGTTTACAGTTTAGACCACTAAGCTATTTTCAAGTAAACTAATTACGGGAACTATTATCAAGAAATGTGCAAAGTATAATACTGTACTTATTTGACCAAACTCTATAAATGGTGATTCTACGTGTTTAGCTCCCAATTGCATTAATATTAAGAAATTGGCTACAAATACAAAGAAAGCAAATTTGCTTAGTGGTCTAAACTGTAAACCTCTACTTCTCCCCAGGTCTGTAAAAGGCATAACCAATAAGATTAATATTGCAGAAAACATAGCAATTACTCCTAATAACTTGTTAGGTATAGATCTAAGTATAGCATAAAAAGGTAACAGGTACCATTCAGGAACTATAGCAGGAGGAGTTTGCATTGGATTGGCCATAACATAATTTTCACTGTCTCCCAGTACATTAGGCATAAAGAAAACGAAAACTGATAATACCACAATAAATAAAAAGATTGTTATTAAATCCTTGAATATGAAGTAGGGTGCAAAAGGCAGTCTATCATAATTACCTGATACCCCTAAAGGGTTACCTGAACCTGCACTATCGTGTAGTGCAATTAAGTGCATTAAGGCTAATGCGGCTAATACGAAAGGCAATACGAAGTGAAGTGCAAAAAATCTATTTAAAGTTGCATTGTTAACGGAGAAACCTCCTCAGATGAACTCAACTATATCTTGTCCTACTCATGGTATGGCACTCATAAGGTTAGTTATAACTGTAGCACCTCATAATGACATTTGACCATAAGGTAAAACGTATCCTAAAAAAGCAGTTGCCATCATTAGGATAAAGATAACAGTACCTATTGTTCACACAAGTGTTCTAGGTGCTCTGTATGAACCATAATATAATCCTCTTCCTATATGTAAGTAAACTATAAAAAAAAAAGGCTGAAGCTGTATTTGAATGTAGATAACGTATTAATCAACCATTGTTTACATCTCTCATAATATGTTCAACGGAATTAAACGCCTCCAAGACACTAGGGTTATAGTGCATTGCAAGAGTTACACCTGTTATTATTTGTATTACTAAACAAAATCCTAATAAAGATCCAAAATTTCACATGTAACTTAGATTGGAAGGTTGTGGTGAATCCACTAAATACCCATTTACTAAGCTAAGTAAGGGATGACTTTTAAAAGCTCTCATTTTATTTTTGTTTTTCTTTTTTTCATAACTGAAAGTTTATTATTTATTAAATTCTACGTTTAAAGCAAACTTTTGTTTTT